AGGAAAATATTCCAGCACAAACATTAGGTTCTGTCAAACACATGGTTCAATTATACTACAGCTTGCATGTCAAAGACATGTTAACGAGCTTCACTATAAACATTTTCAGAAAAAAGTTCACATTATTAAAACTTATGCTGCTGAAAATCTGATCTTCAAAAATTTTTAAGCTAAAAACACAAGAAAGAAAACTATGGATAAATAGAAACTTTTTCAAAGTTCAAAAAGTGTGACAAAGTTGCAGTTAAATGAACAAATCTATAAAAACAAATCTAGAAAATCTTGAAGAAACTGTTCAATTTTGTAAATATGTTTGCCAATTAAGTATTTCTAAGAGGTAACTATAAAGAACTAGTAGAAATTAGACTCGCCTACTTATGTTCAGAGGTAAGCTTTAATATTTATGGTCAATCAGTATTCCATTCATGTTTTATGGTTAAGTCTATACAATATCTTTAAATTCAAGTTTTAAGTAATCAATTGCCCAACCAAATGACGGCAAGTTTTCAAAAATAAAAATCAGTAAAATGTTAGAATTTATTTCTATATTTTATACTGTGTGGTTTGTGGGTTCATTAGTTTCCTCTGCACCTTTTCAAGATATAAAAGCATACTGGCAGATAGTCCAGTATAAAAGTTGGGTAGAATCTTGTAATCCAGGAGCTAATGATGTACTAAAGGGAATTGAAGAAATATTGAAATCAATGGAGAGGCATACATGGTATTTGGATCAAACCTAAATTAGATTATGCCTTTCAGATAAAGAATTTAAAAATGATGAAAAAGAAATAGTTCTTTTCTCACAACCTGTTATTACACACTATGAGAAGTCTAAAAATTCAATCCTTCTGAAAAGTCTAGACTTCATCCAGAAGAAACCACCTAGTTTGTCACAGTTGGTTGGTAGGAACTTGTGGTTTATTTTCAGTCTGTTAAATTTTAGTTAAGAAGATGATAAACGATGATAAACCATGGTCCTTCGTCTTTTTGGGGCTTTATTGACCAATTTAAAACTTTCATTGAATTTGTTTGCCAAATATATGTAGTCAACAACTGCTCTGAACTGGCAATTAAACTTGTGTCAGAATTTGTTAATTCTGTTCACAATGATGAGAACAGGCAAGATATAATGTTAGCCATTCAGCAAAGTAGAGATTAATTCAGGGAGTTCGAAAAAGGACAAACAATGGAAAATGGCAAAATATAAAACATGATTTGGATAACATTTATTTAATTTTTCACCAAAAACATGAAAATAGGTTTGTTGAGTTATAGTTTTAAAAACTGTTTTTGAAGAAAATTTTGTCTTGATTATTTATTAATTTTTCATTGTTGACCTTTTGTCGTTATATATTTTTCTTAGCAGAAAATTTATTTTTTTTACCTTAACTATTCCAGCTACATGAGATTGAGCAAAATAAAATTGTTTCATTAAAACGCATATTTTGTGAAGCCTATATCAATATCTAATCAAACTTTTTGTAAAAATAAAACTTCAAGGCAGATGGTACATATATATTCTGTAAAAAAATAAATAAAATAAATAGAGGGCTGAGAGGGATGGGTGAAAGAAATGAACCCTCTGCAGCCTACCACTAGGGGGTCCCTATATTAGAAATTATTTTTAAAATTGAACTTTGGCTAATATCAATCTTCGTAAACAAGAATTTGATAAAATTTATCACAGAAAGTTTGACAGGTAAAAAAAATTGGTCAATTGGTCAACATATATACATAAATAAATATATATCCTTAAAATTAATTAAAATTAGCACAGTTTGCCCATTTTTCCAAGGCCAAACCAATGATCTTTTTTAAAAACTTAACTTTCCAACCAATTCCAAATAAATATATAGGCTTTTTAGAGTTAATATAAAAAAAAAAATTAGGGTTTTATTTCAATGTTTAAAATCTTTTTTAACCAAAAAGCAGGGGTTTTAGGGCACAAATTGTAATCCAACTGCCCACAACTTTTGCCTTTCTCAATCCCTAACTCAAATAGTCAACTTTTCAACTTGCTTTCAAGACAACCCGAATCATTTACTTTCTCTACTCGACTTATGTCTTGTCTCTAATCCTAGTCAGTGCTCAGTTTCTCCACATTCACCCTAAGGTGCTTTTGATCATGGTTTGATCTCTCTAAAACTATTATCTCATTCTTCTTTATCATCAGAATCCCCCTATCATCGTACATCTTACAACTACCTTAAAGCTGACTGGGACTCTTTCCGTGATTTTCTTCGTGATGGCCCTTGGGTAGAAACCTTTCGCCTTTTTGTTGACAAATGTGCTTCTTACATAACTTTGTGGATTCAGGCTGGCATGGAATCCTTTATTCCCTCTTGACGATTCCAGGTCAAGCCTTACTCTTCTCCATGGTTTTCCTCACATTATGCTGCTGCAATTGCCAATCAAAACCATTATTTCCATACCTATCAGCAAAACAATTCTCCAGGAAACAGACGTCTGTTTATTACTGCTAGGAACCATTGTAAAAAGGTTTTGTCGAATGCCAAAGCCCGCTATTCTCAGATCATGAAATCTCGTATTTCATCACAAAAATTAGGCTCTCGTGACTTCTGGAGAATCTTTAATAGTTTCAATAATAAAGGCAAGTCTGTAATTCCACCTCTTTTGTATGGTTCAGACTTTGTCACCTCACCTAAAGACATGCTGAATTGTTTACTAAAAACTTTTCATCAATATCATCTCTTGATTCCACTAGTTGCGTTCTGCCTGATATAGCCGTCAAACAGATTGATCCATTGCTCGACATCCATATCACTCTAGCTTCTGTATCTAAAGTGATTTCCTGCTTAGACTCTTCTACATCTTGTGGCCCGGACAACATACCTGATATAGTCTTGCAGAAGTGTTCTCAGGAGCTGTCGTCTATCTTTTCAAAACAACTCAGCAAGTGCTTATCAGAGTCTTGTTTTCCAGCCTACCAGAAAGCATCTGTTATCCCTATTTTAAAAAATTCTGGAGAGTGATCCAATTCGTCAAACTAGTCTTCTTCCTATCATAAGCAAGGTTTTTGAATCTTTATTTAACAAATACTTAATCTCTCATCTTGAATCTAACAACTTACTTTCTGATCATCAATATGGATTTTGATCTTCTTGTTCTACGGCTGATTTGCTAACAGTAATAACCGAAAGGTTTTATTGCGCATTAGATAAAGGTGGAGAGGTTAGGGCCATCGCTCTTGACATTTCTAAAGCATTTGATAAAGTTTGGCATGCTGGTCTTCTCCATAAGCTTTTTTCTTACAGTGTATCTGGAAACATCTTTAAGATTATTGAATCCTTCCTTTCCAATCGTAGTATAAAAGTTGTCCTTAATGGACAGCATTCTTCTTCTTATTCTGTAACCTCAGGGGTTCCTCAAGGTTCAATCCTTGGCCCTATACTCTTTTTAATTTACATTAACAATCTTCCAGATATTCTTACATCTAAGATGGCATTGTTCGCAGTTGATACTACCATTTATTCTTATCACGATAAGAAGCCAACTCTCTCTGATTGCTTGCAGGGGGCATTTGAGCTTGAAACGGATCTCACTTCTGCTACAGCATGGGGCTCACAGTGGCTGGTGAACTTTAATTTAGATAAAACTCAATTTTTTTTAGCCAATCATTATCGCAATAATTTAGACCTTCCTATATTTATGAACGGTAATGTACTCAATGAGTCATCTACCCTTCCTCTTCTAGGATTAACTCTTACTTCTGATCTTTCTTGGAAACCTTATATTAATTCCGTTGCAAAATTAGCATCTGCTAAAGTTGCATCTCTTTATCAAGCTCAACACTTTCTTACTCTGGATTCTATTCTCTATCTCTATAAATCTCAAATTCGGCCTTGTATGGAATACTGTTGCCATATCTGGGGCGGATCTTCTAATGATGCCCTTTCTCTTTTAGACAAGGTGCAAAAACCCATTGTAAACATAGTTGGACCTGCTCTTGCGCCCAACCTTTAACCTTTGTCACATCGCCATAATGTTGCTTCTCTTTCTCTTTTCTACAAATACTATAATGGGCACTGCTTTAAAGAGCTAACGTCTCTTGTACCATCTACTAAAATTCATTCTTGTGTTACTCGTCATTCAATTAAGTCTCATCCTTTTTCTGTTAGTGTTACTTTTACAATCTTTTAAGTCATCTGTCAATCGTTATCTTGGTCTACAATCTTCATCTTTTCTCTTCCAGTAACTTTCAACACTAATAAGTGGTTGCTTGCAGCCTTGTTGGAAGCAATGATGTTAAAAAAAAAAAAAAAAAAAAAAAATGTCTAACTAGCCCAGGTGATTGGGATTTATTTTAAAAAATTGTTGAAAAATGATGCACACACACATATATATACACATATATATACACACATATATATACATATATACATATATATATATATATATATATATATATATATATATATATATATATATATATATATATATATATATATATATATAAATATATACATATATACATATATATATATATATACATGTATACATACATATATATATATATATATATATATACTTATATATATATATATATATATATATATATATATATATATATATATATATATATATATATATATATATATACAAATAGTATTGCGTACTAGAGTAAGCAATCTGACATCATACTGAAATAGCCTACTGCTGAGGGCTTCAGTACATACATCGACTGACAAAAAGCCTGACTTGCAGTGGAGTGCTGCTACATCGACTGAGGGTTTGGGATGGGGCAGCAATCGTTTCATTCATCATTTTTCATTTTTTTTTCTTCTTTTTCTAAAAAAGCCGTATGGATAAAGGTAAGCAAAAAAAGTGAGCATATGTTATATATATGTATATATATATATATATATATATATATATATATATATATATATATATATATATATATATATATATATATATATATATATATATATATATATATATATATATATGTAAACATACAATACAAATATAAAAATTACCTTCATGAAGTGGAATCAAAGCTTGTATACTACCAAATATACTCATTAAATCATTATTTTCCAATAGTTTTAGTTTTGACACAGGATTGAAATACGCCTAATAATAATAATAATAATTTAAAATCATTATTGGCACAATTAGCATTGAGTAAAATTGACCATAAAAAATTCATCAAACAGGATGGGACAAACAACTACAAATAAACTTAATAAAAATATATTTAAATAAACTTAAGCAAAATATTTTGGTTTTATTACAGCTCTGCGTTTCATGTACTCTATTCTGTGGATACTTTCATCAAAAAGATTAGAAAAAAAATCTTGTGTTGGTATTACAACAAGCAATAAATGCTGATTGAAACTCACAGAACACATTAACAAATATTTCATGAACATAAACAAACACCTCCTGAACATAAACAAATACCTCCTGAACATAAACAAATTTTACTGCAGTATGGAGTTGGCTTAAACTGTGGGGTAAAGCACTAGGTATTGGTGCTGAGCCTATTTGCAACGCTGGTAATAATAAACACGATTCTGAGGAGAAGTTTATTACCACATAAATTACGATTATGCAAAAGCAATAATGTTTTTTCTTATCTTATACCTCCTATCATTTTATATTTATTTATTTTTAAATAGTGATATCTCTATGCATATGTAATTTTTTGTTAAATTAAGTTAAACATTTGTATTTAACAGGGTGGCCACATAAAATTTTAATAAAAAAAATAGGACATTAGAGGATTTTAGAGGAGATTTTGCATCTAATTTAGAGGATTTATGTCGTGTAACTATCAAATTTTGAAAAAAAATAAAGGATTTTTTTTTACTATTATAGGTTTAATCTCCGTGTTTACACACTTAAGAGGCTTGGACATGTTTCAATAATGCTATTTTTTATGTTAATTGATATGGATTTGCTAAGGCAATAGTTTACAATCCAGTGCCCTTTTAGACATTAACCAGACTTGCAGACCAGGAGTGGGTATTTTAAAATTATACTACCATCAAGACTTTATGAACTTTATTAAATGACTTAAAAAAAAAAACTCATAAATTTGTTATTAATGAATGCATTCTTTAAATTCTATAAACTTTACTTTCTTGCATTTTAGTTCACTAAGAATACTCTCTTTATCAAATGCAGCCCTTTTTGAGGCATTACATTTGAATAAGATTGTTAAATCATTCTTTTTTTCTGCCTCAAATGCAAAGTTATCAGCATCTTTATTAAGCTCAATAATAATTTTCTCCAGAGGCAACTTTAATATTTCTTGGATTTCAAAAGAAATCTTAATCACTTTCATTCATTCACTTTCAATCACTTTTTCATTCTTCTCCTTGCTTAATTTTATTTTAGATTTATGAACGATTGTTGATATATTTGACAAGAAAATTTGACATAAGTTAATAAACTCTTTGAAATTGGAAAACTGTGTGGTTCAAAGTTTTTTTGTTTCATGTAGTCGTAAATTAATCGCTGAGAAATAAGACTTTCCATGTAAAGACTTTCAACAAGAAGCATTTTGTTTTCAGTGAATCCTCGCTCAACAGAAGCCTAACCGTGAGATAAAACTAAAACTATTTGGGAAGCAGACCAAAGAAATTTATAGTTGGGATCTGAATCAATATGCTTCCAAAAAAATGAGTCCAATTGATCTTTAGATTCTTTAAATTCTCTAAATAGTTCTGTATTTGCCTAAATAACATTTGATAAAAATTTTGAATACTCTTGTTTGGCTTTCATCGCAGTTTCAGATGTCAGTTTTTTTAAACCAACAAGAATTTCAAGCATTTTTTCTAATAAAGTTGTTGACAACTCAGCTGGTTCCAACATAACTACAGGAGACAAACAAGAAGTACTTCGAACAAGATTATTTCACAATATACTTTTTTCTGTAAAATGCATACATAAACTAGACAAGAACTGTAAAATGCATACATAAACTAGACAAAAACTGTAAAATGCATACATAAACTAGACAAGAACTGTAAAATGCATACAAAAACTAGACAAAAACTATAAAATGCATACATAAACTAGACAAAAACTGTAAAATGCATACATAAACTAGACAAGAACTGTAAAGCACCTGACTGAAGATTGTGTAAATGATTATTGCTCAAATTCCCTTTTTTTGTTGAAACTTTGATATCATGTTTTATAGCAAAACCAAGATCAACTGATTCCACTAACAGTTGATTTACTTTATCAGTAAAGTTAATTTTGAGCAGATTATATACAAAGTTTACCTTTTCTAAAATATCTTTCTTCAAAAAGCGGCTGCATAAATAACATTGGACATTGTCTAGTGACTTGGTAAAAAACGTAACCATTAGATTGTCAGTTTGAAAGGTTATTAAGAACTTATTTAATGATGCTGCAATTTCCTCAAAAAATCGAAGTTTCAGCAAAATAGTGGGATCTTCCACAGCTTTAGCAAGACAATCGAAACTGGTGTTTTTTCCAGGCTCTCCATTTCCAGGCTGCTTCGATTTTGGTAAGCTTTTCCAAAACTTTACAACTTCAATTATTTTAGGCCAAATCATTTGGGCGCGTTTAGCAACATTACTACTTTCAATCCATCGGTGTGTGCAGAACTTAAGAGGATAGTCCGAAAAAGTAGCAGCTGTTAGACATTCATAGTTAGCTTCGCGTTAAGGAAACTCATTAGATATTATATACAAAGAAATAAGTAATTTCTTAATGTTCCAATCAGTAACCTTTTCCCCGGTTTGGAAAGAACAATGAAGGGTATGGAGACTACATGTCCCAAAATTAATTAAAGGATCAAGTAAATCTTCTTTTCTGCTTTCATTTACCAGATTTAAAAAAGCCAAATTTACATTAGGACCATTAGAAGAAACTTGGAGGACTTTAGTACGATCCAAAGAACTTTAACAATTATTATATTTAGAAAAAACATCAACCGCTGATGCTTTACCTAAAAACTCAGAACTCCAATAAGACGTTTTTACTTCATTGTTTGTGTCATCCCAAAAACAAACATGTAGATCCATTTGACTTTTTATAAATTTTGTTATAAGATTCATCAAATTAGGTGGTGTAATAAGAGATTTTGTTTAATTCATTTAGCATCGTCTCTTTGACAAACCATGACATAAAATGTAACTGCATTTTGTTTTTCCACACATGAAACTTTCAGCAATTTTACCATCTGAAAACTTAAAACAGAACAGTTTATTTTTTGACTCTGAAGAACGATAGGAATATTTACATTTTAAAATTTCTAGTGACCAAATTAGTTCTGCATTTAATGTCTGATCTCTTGACATCATATCAATCAAACTCGTTTGTTTTTGAGTTGTTTTCTGTTCTGGTGGATTAGTTACTTCAGAAAGCTTTTTAAAAAAAATTGTCTTACTGCTATCAGATAGCATCTTGCCACATGTTTCTTCCCTTTAGCATGCTGTTTTATACTTTCTATTCCACTGTTTGCAATGCTGAAGGACTTTGAACAAACTTTACAAAATGCATTTGTTTCATCCTTTTTATCTCTTTGCAACCAGCATTTGAACTCATTTTCAATGAGCCACAAGTCTTGAAATTAATTTTATATTTAGGCATTTTTTTTACTTTTCTAAACAAAACAAATACATTCTTTATGGTAGACATAACAAAAAATAACTACAATTAAGCCATTTTCTACACTGAAAATTTGCTTACCTCTATAATATTTTATAAAAATAATTAAAGATTTTCAAAAACACTTAATATAAAAATTAATATAAAAATCTGCTAAACAATAACAACATTATTTCATACAACAAAAAAAAAATTTTTGTAAACCTAAAAAAAAAAAGGAGTTAAAGAAGAGATTTGATCACATTTTAAACTTTTTAGAGGATAATAGAGGATTTTAGAGGTTTTTTAAAAAAAGAGGACTTTAGAGGATTTTAGAGGAGCTGTGGCCACCCTGTTTAATGAAGATTTTTGTTTACTTATATGCCCTGTTTTGTTTTAGGCATACTTTAACAATAAATTTACTGTTGACTATGATTGTGTATAAACTTTTTCTTCTTAATAAATCTATGTTTATTCTGAACACCTGCTCGTTTTTCTTTGTTTTTATTAGTTATTCTTCCTTTATATAAAAAGTTTTTTTAATAGAAATGTTTCATACTTCTCTGTGGGTTTTCATTACTTAGTCTAGTTCAAGCACTGCAGATTACCTGCATTAAATATAACAAAAACAAATACCTCCTGAAGCAACTTTAAATCTTCAACTAAATCAATTTCACCACAACAAAGTTCATAAATTGCCTTAAATTAAAAAAAGAAATAAACAGTATAAATTTAATATAAACAGAACATTGCCTTAAATCAAAAAATAAAATAAACAGTTTTTAAGTTTATACTTTTTTAACTTACAGTTAAAAAAGTATATACTTAAAAAATTAGAATAAAAAATTTCCTTTAACATAATAACCTCTTGTCTCCTTATTTGCTGAGGAGTCCAATCACGAACATCTCTCTCTAAAGATTCTACCCACAACTGGAAAATATTAAACAAAATATTATGAGCAAGTTACTCAAGTAGAAAAAAATAATGGCAACACATGGTTTGATTGAACAATTTAAAAAATAAACAAATATGACCTAATAAATTTTTTGTAACACAAGGTAATTAGACCTTAATATATGCCCTACATGGTCATTGTTTCAAAGTGGTTAACACCAAGTAAACTACCAGTTTGGGTTCACTTAATAAATTTAACAATATGCAAAACAGAAGAATTTTTTTCTCATCATATGTATCAGCAAAATAACCAAATTAAATAAAGAACACTTCCAATAAATAATGCAGAATCTTTTTTAAGTTTGATCTTATAACAGCAGCACATGCTCTGTGCTACCACATGCTTAGTGCTACCACATGCTCAGTGGTACATAATGCTTAGTGCTACCACATGCTCTGTGCTACCACATGCTCAGTGCTACCACAGGCTCAGTGCTACCACAGGCTCAGTGCTACCACAGGCTCAGTGCTACCACAGGCTCAGTGCTACCACAGGCTCAGTGCTACCACAGGCTCAGTGCTACCACAGGCTCAGTGCTACCACAGGCTCAGTGCTACCACAGGCTCAGTGCTACCACAGGCTCAGTGCTACCACTCAATTTCTGCAAGATTGATACTTTTTTCAACATGAATGTCCAAAGATGTTTTTTTTTTTTTAAATTGTCCTATTTTTATGTTTTTATGGCCATCTCAACCTTTTAACTTTTTTTTAGCTTGTGATGATTTAGATTTACTCAATTTTTTGACCATATATAATCTTTTTTTTTATAAAGAAAATTAACTAAGCAAATGATTTCTTTGATTTTTTCTTCACTGCAGTTTAATAGTCAGTAAAGAAAAGAATATTAGGAATTTATTCAATTTGAGGTAGAAAAAAAGAACCATTAGTAATTCATGTAGTTGTTTTGTAACTCATTAAACAACATTTTTGTTGTTTAATTCTTTTAGAGTTTTAGTTGGAATACAATAACTGAATAAGCTATACAATACAAACAAAATAATTCATGCAATAAAATGTATAAACTTATTTCTTATAAATTACATTAAAAAAAAAAAAGATAAAAAATGTTTTAATTAGAAAAATTTTAATTTAATTTATTTTTTCCTTTTCATTTATGCAGAGTTGTTAACAAGGCCAAAAGTAGCAAGGCCAAAGCCAAGGCCACATGTTATAAGGCCAAAGCCAAGACTAAGGCCAAAAGTTACAAGGCCAAGGACAAGGCCAAAGCCAATAGTTTTAAGGTCAAGGCCAAGAATAAGAGTTTCAAGGCCAAGGCCCAAGCAAACATTTTCAAGACCAAAGACTGAAATTTTTGCCATATGTTAAGGCCAATTATTAACAAAACTGTAGGTAACAACTGCTGTGACAATAAAACCACATGTTGTAAAAATAAACCAAGGTTATGCGCAGAATTCAACAAAGTTAATAAGAAAATATCCTTGTAGATATATATGAAAGCCGCAAACAAAAATACATAAAAATAAAGAATGAAAACTTTTAATTCTTTAATTTTATACATTTTTTTTTAAGACCAAGGCCAAAACAATTAAGGCCAAGGCCAAAATTTTCATAGCCAAACTGTTTTAAGGCCAAGAGCAAGGCCAAGGTCTTAATTTTTGGCCTTAAGGCAAGGTCAAGGCCAAGGCCAAGGACTAAATACTCTGAATTTATGCTTAGAAGTTCAACAAAAATTATTTCTATCAGCTGCGTGATGCACTTTTCATACCTCCTGCATTACTATTTTTTTTTCATGTCACCATAAGATAAATATTTTAATTCTATAATAATTGCTGTTAATACAAAAAAACTATCACTTTTAATTATTGGTATACTGTTTTCACAATGCAATTTTTAATGTATACTTTTATTGGGATGTTGTACCCACTATGCAGCTTTGTATATTTTTCCATCCAAAATGAAGAAATAATAAATAAACGCAAACCTTAGAACTTCTACGCCTTGTTGGAGTTGTGCATTGCTTGTATTTTTTAAAGGTAAAATGAGTTGGTATATTCTGAGTAGCAGAGTTCTGAGTAGCAGAGTTTGGCAAATTGAGACTTGATGATCTCTAAAATATAAAACAATTAAAAGTTAATTTATTTGTAAATTTACTAAATCTTACTAAAAACATTGTTTTTTAAGTTGTTATCATTCTGCAAATCAAAATGATTTGTAAAACCTCCAACATATTGTTTAATTTCCAACGTAATGTTTCAAAAGTTTTTTTTTTTAAGTTTTAAAATGTTTTTTATAATATTTTCAAAAAGTTATGTCAAAAACAATAGTTGAAATAACCTTATATGGAAGATTTTTCATTGCTTAAACATAAATTTTATAGTAAACCTAATCATTAACCATCAGGACAGATAACACCTCTAGCTTTTTGTTATCGATATTACACAAGAATTCTAAAACTCTGGACAATAAAATTAATATTTGAAACTTATTGTTTAACATGAAATCATTTTACTTGTTGATAAATTAAAATTATAAAAAGAACACTTGATAATTTTAACTTGGTTGTATTTAAAAAAACAACAAACCACTGTTTGATGCATGAGTTCAATAATTTTTTTTTAAAACCTCATAAATACTTCACTATTTTCATTTTTAGCATTTTTAATTTACAAATATTTAATATATTAAAACAAATCAAATAGTGCACATAACTGAAAAAAACTCTATTGCTATAGTGGTTGTTATAGCTAATGATGACATTACTTTTTTATTAATAAAAGGTATTTTCAATATAATGCTAAAAACAATTTTGTGAGAAAAAGTGAGGAGTTTGAAAACTCCTGTGTTTGAAGTAGATGGCATAATAAAACTTAAGTTGAAAAATGCATAAGATAGCAAGCATTAAACTAATGTAAAACACAACTTATGGTAACAGGAAAATACAGGTTTTAAAAGAGTGATAAGCCTCTATATACTGCATTAAACAAAATGCTTATGTTTAAGCAATGAAAAAAAACTTTATGACTTCCATATAAAAGTATTTAAACTATTTGGCAAGTGTTACAAAAAACATAAATTTTTAAAGACATAACTTTTAAAACAATATTTCAGATTTAAAAAACTTTAGATTTTATAATATATAAAAGTAAAAACAAGAAATTAAATCTTATAAATTTTAAATATAAAAATATTTATAACCTAGTTTAAAGAAGCTTAAAACTTTAAATATATATAAAAAAAGAATCCATTAGAACAAAATGTATGGATGAAAAACAAACAATATAGTTATGACGTTAATTTTCTATAATCCATGTTAAAAACTTTTCAACAATAAAAACTTTGAATTAAATTTAACAAAAGAAAAAACTCTCAATGTGACATCATTATTACATCATTTTTCTATTTTCTTAAATGATGTCAAACATTTAAACATTATTCGTTTGATATTATGAAAAATATTTTTAGTGTAAATTTTTGCTAAAATTTCATTTTTTAAACTTTTGATATTACAAATTATCAAATCAATATTTTATTACAGAAATATTATTACCTCTTTATTTCTTAATCCATCTATATTATGGCTAAATATCATTGTACATAAAGTTGTTAACAGTTTAAAACTTAAGTCTTAATCAAACACCTCTAAACATAAATGTGCAGTGAAAAGATTAAAAAAAAAAACAACATAAAACCATTGTGCTTTGATCAATGGAAATTAGACTATTAAATGGCAACAGAATTAGAAAAACCTTAACATAACTTAACATAATTGTAATATTAGCCAAAATAATGAGTGATTAGCCAGCGTTACCAAAACATAGAGTGGTTATGTGAAAATATTTTAAAAGGGATAAAAAGAATAAAATTATATTTAAAAAAAGCTGATTGCATGTTAAAGATAATATTCAGTGTTAATAAAACATTTAATTAAAACTTAGTATTTTATTAAACAAATAAGAAAAAATGAACTGCAAAAAAATTACCTGAACTGGAGACCCATTTTTTTTCAAAGAACCTGGTGAAAATCCCTTAGCAAGAGCAGCAACTCTGGTACTGAACTTTTTCCTTGGAGCCTTCTGTTATATATATATATATATATATATATATATATATATATATATATATATATATATATATATATATATATATATATATATATATATATATATATATATATATATATATATATATATATATATATATATATATATATATATATATATATATATATATATATATATATATATATATATATATATATATATATGTAGAGAGAGAGAGAGAGCGGATTTTTATTTTTTTAAAAATAAAAAATGTTTTCAAAAGATGAACAAACTAAAGATTAAAAGATTAAAAATAAAATTAATATATTTTATTTTTTTTATTACAAAAATTTATTACATGCCAAAAATGTTTTTAAATAGACATTTAAAAAAGACAAGCCAATAGAAGTTTAAGAAGATTAGAAAGAGATGTAATAATAAGTTATTAATTATTTTAGTAATAAATTATGTTTTTAACTATTTATAAGCCTTAAATAAAAAGACAGGCTATTGAAAGAATAATATATACTATATATATATATATATATATATATATATATATATATATATATATATATATATATATATATATATATATATATATATATATATATATATATATATATATATATATATATACACTTTATAATCCTATATAATTAAATATAAAATACTATATAATTAAAAACTATAAAAGTTATGATAATTATTATAACAATTTTACTTTTTTAAATATAATGAATTTTCTAATACTTTACACATTAAAAAAAAGTTTTTTAAAGTTTTTTAAACTTTAAAAGTTAAAAAAAAATTTTTTTTTAAAGTTTAGGCAAAGTTATGACAAAAAGTTTAACAAGATGTTTAGAATTGAACTTGTAAAAGAGAAAATAATTTGTGATCTTTATATGGTGACTTATAAATATATGATTTGATAAATTACAGAGTAAAAATTTTTTAAACAAAAAGATTTATTTTTAATAATATTTTAAAAAGTACATTTTTTAACCTTTAATCAAAATGTAGATAACGTTAAAAAAAAAAAAAGTTTAATTATCTAAAAGCTGTGCTACAAAATCCAAATGTTTTTCTATTTGACTAGATATTGCAAACATTGTCTAAAAATTATTGGTTTTAAAAATTAAGTTTTTCTTTAAAAAAATATATAGTAAATTCCTCTTTGTCATATGCAAAAATATTTATACCAAGTATATATCATCATATATTATTACTGTTTAATTTTTACTCTACACATTATATCATGTGTATGATAAAAATTTAATTTAAACACAGAAAAATAAATAAAACCAATTTTTTATTAAACAGATTTTGCAAGACTTTGCAATACTTTTTAAACATGAATATGTTTAATATAAAAACTAAAGAATAAACTGAAAACAAACAAAGAACTGAACCATCAAAAAAAAAAAAAAAATTTATTGGTCTTGATAAGTTTACAAGTTTCCTTATGTATCATTAGGCCTAATGATACATACGCAGCATCACATAGCAAAAAAGCAATAGAAGACTTTTGATAAACTATAAATTGTACAAGTCAGAAAAACATGGGAGAGAATTCCAAAGCACTAATGCTCAAGGAAAAAAACTCAATGAATAAAACTTTATTGAGCACGAAGGAATAGTTACAGTAATTAGATAAAACTTAGCTTATAAACCATACAAGAGTTTTGGTTGATGGAACAAGTACTAATGGCTTGCTTGGGCAATGAATCTAGGTCCGTAATGAAGAAAAATAATGATCGATTCTATCAATCATGATATTCTCATTACCTATAAAAGTGTCTACAAAAGTACCTATTTTAAAATTGTGTATACTTTTTAAAATAGAGAAAATTTAATAGAAACTATGAAACAACTCTGATTTTTTTTTCAACCATCTTGAATTTCTGAAAAACCCCAATAAACATTTGAAGTAATTAAAGAGATGCAGAATAACAAAAGATAACACATGCAAAACAAAAGTAAAAGCAAGAAAAACATATTTAAAAATGGTGTAAAAAAAAAAAAAGAAAAGAAAAAAGATTAATAAAAAGCACAACAAATTTTATGATTCAGTGGACTGGTACACATTAATTAATTAAGTACAGTTATTAACAAATTAGTCACACTTAAGGTTCTTGTCACAGGAATTCATTAGGTTTTTTGGTTGAGACCACACGTGTTTGAGATGTGGCTATGACCTAACATATTCTGAATGTGTCTAGGACCTAATATGTTTATATTTCAGATATTTCTAGTAAACATATCATTCCCATAAACTTTAAACACATTCCTTGACAACTGCCACATTCTTGCTTTTTTTTTAATTCACACAAAAAAAAAAAAAAAAAAGTTTAAATTCTTAAAAAATAAATTATGAAATAAACTTCATCATGAGTTTTTTGAACTGCAAGTTTTTA